AAATAGAATCTTCTAGTCTTAATTTATAAAGGTTCATTTTGTGGATGTATAATCATCTAGTAAAATTGGAGCACAATTCAATGATATGATTATTTTAGACAGGTTTCATGTCTTATGTGTCCAAGTTCTTTTTAATTGATTTTGGACAAATTTAATGTCATGGGTCTAGACACGGCCCAATCCTTTACCCGGCTCGGATACGGCTACACCCCCAACGTCTTGGATCCGGCCACAAACCCAAACCCCAACCCCCCATGCGTCTATACTCTGAAGGACTCAAACACCAACCCCTTTAGGTTCGAACAAGGACCCAACTCCTAACCTCACTTTGGTCTGGACACGAACAGACCCAACCCCTTCAGTTTGGAATATAGAAGGACTCAAACCCTTTATTTTCGAACGTGGAAGGACACAAACCTCTTAGGTCCGACCATTGATGAATCCAAACCCCAACTCTTTTGGATCTGGACACGAACCCATCCCCAAACCTCCTTAAGTCCCTACCCTACCTGATCCAAGCCCCTTGGATCCCTGCCCGACCAAACCCACAACCCTATACTTTGAATTATAATAAAAATAATAATATTATTTTTTTATTATAATTCTAAATATTTATATAAAAATATTATTATTTGTGTTATAAATATTATTATTTTTATTATAATTAGTAGTATAAATATTAAAATTATTATTATTTGTATTATTAATATTATTAGTTTTATTATAATTAACATGTTTAATAAGATCATGGGACCCAGCACCTGCATGACTGAACCAAGCTTTTATCTCTAGGAGACTAATTCTCTCTTCCTCCAAACAACAATGGCACCGCTCGTTGACGAAGGCCAGTGCCATGAGCAGCATCCACACCCACATTTGCCTCACCCACATTTGCCTCATCTTCATAACGCTCCTGCTTGACCAAATACAAAAGCAAGCTGTCTGTTATATACAATTTAATTTGTCCTCTTCATGCGTTTGATCAAAGGATTTTCCCGTGATAAACTTTTAGACTTTGGTGGTCTCCTCACGATCTTTTTTCAGAGAAATCTGCTTCTCATTTGTAGCTTGCCATCTTCCTACTGGCACACTAGCTTTAATTATATGTGCACTTGATTATTATAAAAATAAAATAAAATTACTCCACGTCCACTATTGTCAGCTATCGAGAACGCATGCTGGACCCAGTTTAAGCTCAATATGGATTTTTATTAGCAAATCTTAGAGAAACAGTTTCCTGCATGATTACTAGAATTTTTTTGGTTTGATTTAATTTGATATCAATGATTTTTCACCTTTTGTTTGAGATCAATTAAGTAAAGAAACCTTGAATGGAACAGCCATTTGTACGCATATGCTTGACTTGAGGTCTGCCATTTTGAATTTAAAATACCAGCAAGCAGTAATTTCTTGGTGATTTCCTTGTAGAAACTGGTGGTCTCCTCACGACCTTTAATTTAAAAAAAAGCCCTTGTGGGAGCATGATTAAAGCTAGGATTCAACCAGTATCAGGAAATGACTGTCATCTTTTAAAGAAATTTGATCACCCACTTTTTTTAATATACTCTTGATTTCATCACCCACTTTCACTTGTTTTTCTTTGTGGACCTCCGTTGCGAAGTTGCAGTGCTGCGAAGTTGCAGCGAAACAAACTCGCAATTGCAGCAGGTGCCTAATAATGAACAAGAAGATAATGATTTCATATATATGTTCTCCGTGCTTTGTCAGGTTGAACAATTTAATTTTTTTTATTTAAAAAAATTGACAGGTTAATAAAAATTGAAGTTTCAAGTCATTCGTTCAAGGAATAATTTAAATAATATATATAACAAAAAAAATAACAATAAATAAATAAATTGTTTACGTAAAATCATCTAATATAAATGCATTTGTAACGTGTTACATTGTTAGAATTAAAGCGTAAAATGCCGTGGACGCCGATGCTTGACTTGCGGTGTTCCATTTTGTGATGCATTTTTTAAACTTGTTTTTTGGATTTTTTCAGCAAAACATACATTATATAAAAATTTATTAATGAATTTTCTTTGCTCAATTATATCTAAAATAAGAACTGAATACATTATATATAAAAATTAAATTAATTAATGAGACCTTGACTTTGGAGTCAAGGTAATTAGGGGACGGTGTTCTTAAACAAAAAGTTTTTAACTCCAAGTCAATTTAAGTAGGCCTTATTGATTGGGAGTTAAAGAGATTAGCTGCCACTTCATCATCGAATAAAAATTAAAATGTTAATGAACTCACCGTTAATTGCCATTAAGCTCCATTGAGTGTAAACAATGAATTTATAAAATAGTCAAAAGTGGGATGTCGTGATTTCAACAATGCCGTTTCAGAAAATTGATAGTCATGATGAAAAGAAGAAGACACGATTGTTGAGTTGAAACGTGAACGTCGTGTACGCCTGAATTGTATAGTGACGATGATGGAACTGATGCGGTTGCATAGCAGCACCTACCAGTACTTTCCTAATGACTTCCTTGCGGAAGAAATTATGGCCTGTTGGAAAACGATGCCACCCTAACAATCCAAGAGTTCAAATTCAACTTGAATAAAAGCATGATAAATGGATAATTTAGAGGAGAAACAGGGGATTGTTCTATTTTGTTATGTAACAATCTCAACAGCTTAGAGGTTAGATTTGTAGCGTCTAATTTCAAATGGAAGACTCTATTGATTCTCATCATTATAGTAATAAAACCACGTACATTTTTATTAAATTAAGAGGAAACACAAAATTAAACTAGAAAATCTTAAGAGTTCAGAAATAAATCTAACATTGTCGAACGAAGTGTGAGCAAACCCAGATTTGGTGGAAGATAGAAATATGAAGAGAGAGCAGAAATTGATGGTCTCTTCTGCTTTTCATGGCCTCCTTGTTTTGCATTTAAGGTTCGGCCATCTAAGCTTCTCACTGGGTTTTAATTTCCTGAGTTAATTTCATCGGGGCTGGACTTGAATATCTCTACATATACACTTAAGGCTGGATGAGATCGTCTCTTTAGCCGGCCTTCTTAGGCTTTTGTTCTTTCAAACAATGTCAGCTCTAAGCCCATTATTTTACAGAAAATGTAAAATACACTTGTCATGGCTGATTGAAATCGTGGAAAAAAAAACTGGAGGAAAGATAACTGATTTACCCCCAACGAAGACCAATGCAGAGGAATTTCAAAGGGGAAAAATACACTTGTCACTTGTCATGGCTTTATGATGCAGTTCATCTAAAGATAGACCTAATCTGAATTAATTGTTCGGTCTCCTTCAAAGCGAAATAACTTTTGCCAGGTTTCCTCCTAGTGACATTACATTATTAAAATTACAAGTGCTGAAGCACAATTCAAAGACAATAAGTAGTGTTAAACTTAACAAGCTAGATCCATGCTGCTGCATTCGCAAGAAACTAGCACCCATCAACAATGTGCTAGATGTCAATGCTGAGCTTTAAATCATCTAAAGAGGCTCATGAAGAAAATAGGCATAAATGATAATAGATAACACACCAGAGCACTCTACGTAAACTGATATCTTCAGAAAATTCAAACACACCAGAGCACTCTACGTAAACTGGTATCTTTAGAAAATTCAAACACACCAAAGCACTCTACGTAAACTGATATCTTCAGAAAATTCAAAGGCTTGAATGAAAAAGAAAAGCTAGAAATATCTAAGTCAACTCTTAATTTGCAACATTCCACGACTTCATGTTTGGTGTGTACTGTAAGCTGAAGCCATACTCTCCACATAATCATGAGCTTCATCTGCAAAAAACCATTTTCACTTCATGGGACAAGGGATCAAACAAATATAAACCTGTTGGTGGATTACATTCATAAATTATGCTCAAGCAGTTCACAAGACATGTGATTGTTGGCAAGATCCAAGAATTCGAGAGAGCTCATATTCCCAAAACAAGGAGGAATACAACCCGTGAGGATGTTCTTAGCCATCATGAAGATCTTCAAACGTGGAAAAATCGAACATATGTTTCTTGCAATTTGACCATGTATGCTGCTGCCTGACATATCTACTGTCTGAAGGTGGGGTGTTGGATGTTGTGGCAGCTGCAAAGGACCTATAAATGAGGTGTCTCTCAAATATAGTCGATTTAACATTGTATTATTCTCAAACAGCCAAGACGGAAAAGGTTCTCCAACGAATTTGTTGTGGGATAGATCAACAACCACCAAATCATATTGGCTATAGAGGAAGTTTGGAAATCCAGCCTCGAGTGGTTTTGAAGTACAGTTTGAAGCTCTAAAGAAAAGAAGCTGGAACTTTGGAACTAAAGGCTGAGAACTGGGTGCAGCTATTAGCTCATTCTTATCGCATGCAAAGAACTTGAGGTTGGAGTGGTTCATAAATGAACCAAATGATATTGGAACTTGAAAGTAGTTATTTGAAACTTTGAGGTATCTGAGCTGCGTAAGATGGGAAATGTGACCAAGGGCAATATTTCCCTCCAATTGGTTTTCAGATAAATCCAAGGATTGTAGAAATGATAGATTTCCCAAACAAGGAGGGAGCGCGCCCTTTAGATTGTTTTCTGAGAGAGATATGTATTCAAGATTCTTCAGTTCACACCAGCCTGTAGAATATATTCGTAAGTTCATGTTAAGGGAATAGGAATGTATCAATTATGTAATTGCTAAGTACGGTTTTAAAGTTTTAGTTGATTTTTGTTTCATTAACTAGGACGGTTTTAAAATATATTTAAGCAGCTTTGTTTGTTTTATATATATATATATATATATTAGAGATTGGTTATTTAGATTATTGATATCGATAATTTTTTTAATTCAAAGTTTTCTAGGAACGAGAAATTTTAGAAATTGAGAAACCCTAGATTTTATCCTCTGCTAAATATAGCGTAAAGTTAGGAGTAAGCCTTCAATTCACACCAACCTATATAATTTATCTGGAAATAGTCAAAATATATGGTGTTGAAAGAATCTTGAGCCGATGGAGAGTTGTTAATTTACCTTGAACGCGCAGGGTGTCATTGAGGTCACAGTGACCAGCAGACAATACTTTAAGAGCAGGCAATGCTCCGATGTTCTGGAGAAAGTTTAATGGGAGAGAACTACCATCTAGATGCAATTCTTCAAGGGTGCTCGAATTGAAGAAAATCCCTGTGATAGAGAAAGAAGAAAATGTATGATGAAAATAGTGGTGGAACAGAGTAGAGTGGAAGGGCCTTGGGGGATATATATACTTCCCCACATGCATCATTACACGATTTATTCTATTGGTAACTAACTCTAACCAACTTCTAACACGTGTCCAAGCATCTGCCAGCCACCCTTAATTTAAGACTGAGAAATTTAGAGATTGAGAAACGCTAGATTTTATCCTTTACTATACGTAACATTGGGAGTAAACTTCTAGTTTAATAAAACATAGATAGAACACAAATATCTAATGAACAGCTGTTATTTGGATTTCAATACTCTTATAATTGTTCTTTTGTAGAATTACCTCGAGCAGGTAGGGTGCTATGGAAGTCAACTCCGGTCAATGATAGGACTTTAAGAGTAGACAACGGTCCAATGTTCCTAAGAAAGCTTGCTGGGAGAGAAGAATAATCGAGGAACACTTTGTCAAGGCGTGGCAACGCTCCCAATGACTCTATCAAAATGCTTTCCTTGAAGTCAGTCAAATCCAGATTCAAGATTTCTAGTTTCCTTAAACCTGTGATAGAGAGAATTAACAATCAATAATAATGATTTACAATAATTAAATAATTTATAATGTTACAAGACATAGCTTAATTTTTAAAATTAAAATAGTTTTTAATATGATATTAAAATTCTAATAATTAAATATTCACCCTCATTTATTTAAAAAAAATTAAGAATAAAAAAAACTCTTGTATTTTCAGAAAAAATACAATTAAATAATCTAATCTTAAAACGATACTCCGATTGTTGATATAAAAGTTTAAAACCGATTTAATTAAAAGAATTCAAAATTAAGTGCAAAATGGGCTTGAAAGAGACCCAACAGGAGAGAAAAATCTGAAATAAACTCTTGATGTTCAAAATAGCCCACAAGTAAGGCTTAAATAGCTAGGGCTGAGAAAATTGCCAAAATAGATAAATACTGATTATTCAATAAATAAATAAAATATTGCCTTGTTTTAAGTTTAGACTTATGTTCTTTCAGCAAACAAAATTTTTGCTTTACCACATTCCACCTTGCTGGTATGATCCTTCTGTTCTATCAATTATTTTTTTAATTGAGAAAATACGATACTGTAAACTATTACAATTGTGAATAAATTCCATATTATTAGGGATATAGTAATCACAAGAAGCCAAGAAATATTCGTTGGTTGCTCAACAAAATTAAGACATAACAAAGAAACAAACAAATACTGATACAAGCACAAGGACAAACACAAGTCACATCAAAACAGAAAGGCTAAGCAACAAGAACACTTCCACAGATCACTTCTCACAGGCAAATTGCTAAACATGCAGTGAGCAGCCATTGATTTGGAATGCGACTGCTTCCCCACAGAGGATTACAACAAATTCAGAAAGCAGCCCACTCGCTCATGATAAGACCTAATCACCTTCTGAATCTGGACAACTTGCGAAAGTTTATAGCCAAAAAGCAGTAACAAGTGTCGATGCATTCTTCAATGAAGTAAAACCACCTGCGTCGCCAATGCGGATTTATGCACAGTACTGCTGCAATTGTCAACACCACAATTAGGTAACACACACCAAAGCTGGCATAGAAACTGTCCATGTCTATGAAGCCACCATCTCCAATGAAATCGTTAGGCACTCTCGCTGATGGTGATTCCGTTTTGTCGCAACTGTTTTGCAATGGAGGTCCACAAAGAAGAGGATTCCATTTATAACTGCTCTCATCAAAGGTAGCAAATTGATTTTTCATCTCCGGTGTTCTTCCTGACCAATTATTGCACGACACGTTGAAAACTGCTAGAAAGGTCAGTTCAACGAGTTGTGCAGGAATTCTCCCATTCAAGTTGTTGTGAGAAAGATCCAAGCTCTCTATCTGCTTCAGATTGGAGAAAGATGGAGGGATCAATCCAGTGAGATTATTTTGTGACAGATTTAGAGAATATATCCCACTTAAGTTTCCCCATTCTGTCGGGATTGCTCCAGTGAATCTGTTACAAGAAAGATCCATAACAGACATGTAACGAAGGATATCGCCTTCGTAAGCGTAGAAATTTTTCTTTGCTGTAAGCTCTACAGCTATTTTTACATCAATCTCTGGCCCAAAAAGTTTGTCATAATGATTAAAACCTTCGTTCTCCAAGTCTCTTACCCCTATGGATCCAGATATTTCTTCCTGGATTCCACCATCTCGTGACCTCCCGCCGCTGGGGGCCAGAGTTTTTTCATCTGATGCCGTAAAATTTAAATTGCTCAAACATGAGGGTAACGGACCAGAAAAGTTATTTTCTGAAAGATCCAATATGCTTAATTTTCTTAACAAGCATAACTGATGAGGAAGTTTCCCATTGAATTGATTAGATTTGAGAACAAAAATGCTCAATTCCGAAAGGCTATCAATCCAATTTGGAAGGGGCCCAGTTAAGTTGTTATCGCCGAGATCTAATGTCACCAACGAAGAGAGATTACAAAAAGCATATGGTAGTGGACCACTCAATTGATTTCCGTATAGGTGGACATAGCGTAAAAATGGTGCATTGTAGCCCAACGGTAATGACCCAGACAGATTGTTTTCAGAAAGATCTAAAAATTCAAGCCTAGGAGAATTGAAATATTCTATTGGAATGGTACCTTCAAACTGATTTCTGGACAAATCAATTTCCAGAGAAAAGCGGTTTAGTGACGAGTTCCCAATTCCCCTTGGAAGCATGGCTGACAAAAGATTGTTACTGATATCAAACCACGAAAATGATGATGCAAGAGAAAAGATACCCGATACTTGTCCTGCAAATTTGTTTCCATCGAGAAAGAGGTACTCTAGGCTAGTCATGTTGAACACAGAGAGTGGTAATCGACCTGAGAAATTGTTATTGGACAGCTTCAAAAACCACAACGAGGAGCCTACTGTTGGCAAATTATGCTCAAGCAGTACACAAGACATGTGATTGTTGGAAAGATCCAAGTATTCGAGAGAGCTCATATTCCCAAAACAAGGTGGAATACAACCTGTAAGGTTGTTGTTAGCCATCATGAAGTTCTTCAAACGTGGAAAAATCGAACATATGTTCCTTGCAACTTGACCATGTATGTTGTTGCCAGACATATCTACTGTCTGAAGGTTGGGTGTTGGATGTTGTGGCAGCTGCAAAGGACCGCCTATAAATGAGTTGTCTCTCAAATATAGTCGATCTAACTTTGTATTATTCTCAAACAGCCAAGACGGAAAAGGTTCTCCAACGAATTTGTTTTGGGATACATCAACAACCACCAAATCATATTGACTGTAGAGGAAGTTTGGAAATCCAGCCTCGAGTGGTTTTGAAGTACAGTTTGAAGCACTAAAGAAAAGAAGCTGGAACTTTGGAACTAAAGGCTGAAAACTGGGTGCAGCTATTAGCTCATTGTTATCGCATCCAATGAACTTGAGGTTGGAGAGGTTCATAAATGAACCAAATGTTATTGGAACTTGAAAGTGGTTATTTGAAACTGAGAGTTGTTCAAGCTGCGTAAGATGGGAAAGCTGACTAGAGGCAATATTTCCCTCCAATTGGTTGTAAGATAAATCCAAGGATCGTAGAGATGATAGATTTCCCAAACAAGGAGGGAGTACGCCCTTTAGATTGTTTCCGGAGAGATCTACCTCTTCAAGATTCTTCAGTTCACACCAGCCTGTAGAATATATCCATATATTCATTGTTAAGGGAATAGGAATATATCAATTATGTAATTGCTAAGTACGGTTTTAAAGTTTTAGTTGATTTTTGTTTCATTAGCTAGGTCGGTTTTAGATTATATTTAAACAGCTTTCTTTTTATATATATATATATATATATTAGAGATTGGTCATTTAGATTATTGATATCGATAATTTTTTTAATTAAAAGTTTTCTAGGAACGAGAAATTTTAGAGATTGAGAAACCCTAGATTTTATCCTTTGCTAAATGTAGCGTAAAGATAGGAGTAAGCCTTCAATTCACACCAACCTATACAATTTATCTGGCAACAGTCAAAATATATAGTGTTGAAAGAATCTTGAGCGGATGGGGGTTGTTAATTTACCTTGAGCGGGCAGGGTGCCATTGAGGTCACAGTAACCAGCATACAATTCTTTAAGAGCGGGCAATGCTCCGATGTTCTGGAGAAAGTTTAATGGGAGAGAACTACGATCTAGATGCAATTCTTCAAGGGTGCTCGAATTGAAGAAAGTTCCTGTGAAAAAGAAAGAAGAAAATGCATGATGAAGATAGTGGTGGTACATGCATATATAGTAACCGTTCCATTCAATATTATTAATAAAGATTTTAAGAAACTAAACACTGATTAAGCACTATCCTTGAGAGAAAGGGTCTTGATTCTGTTATTTCTTGCGTGCGTAATCTGCCAGCTACACGGTTTATTCTATTGTTAACTAACTCTAACTGACTCCATGCATCTGCCAGCTACCCTTAATTTAAGACTCAGAAATTTTAGAGATTGAGTAAACTTCTAGTTTAATAAAACATAGATATAACACAAATATCTAATGAACAGCTGTTATTTGGATTTCAATACTCTTATAATTGTTCATTTGTAGAATTACTTTGAGCAGGTAGGGTGCTATGGAAGTCAACTCCGGTCAATGATAGGACTTTAAGAGTAGACAAGGTTCCAATGTTCCTAAGAAAGCTTGCTGGGAGAGAAGAACCATCGAGGGACACTTCTTCAAGGCTAGACGAATTAGACAACCCTGTGGAACAGATCAAATAAATCCATCAATATATTATAAATATCATATTGTTTTAGGCACCAAAACTGTCACTGACCTTTCCCAAAGTGTTTAAATGTACTATAACTGGCATCTAAGGTCTTGAGGGATGGCAACGCTCCCAATGACTCTATCAAAATGCTTTCCTTGAAGTCAGTGTATTCCAGATTCAAGCTTTCTAAATTCCTTAAACCTGTGATTGAGAGAATTCACAATCAATAATAATGATTTACAATAATTAAATAATTTATAATGTTACAAGACATAGCATAAGTTTTTAAATTAAATTAATTTTTTAATATGATATTAAAATTTTATTAATTAAATATCCACCTTCATTTATTTTAAAAATAAATTAAGAAATTGAACAAAAGTCAATAGCGTGTATATGTACGTAAGTTTCAAATTATTTCACTCGTTAAAGAATTAATTATATAAAGCCTTTTTAAGGCTTCATCCAAACAATTACTTAAGGGTTAACACACATCTAATTAGTAAACCTCACTAGGGAATGCCATCCGAGGTAGGAATGATTTACAGCTTTGCCATTGAGACCAGTTGATCCTGTGAAGCTGTTGCGTGATAGATATAGAGATTTGAGAGTTGAAAAACCACCGAGAGATGATAAAACGCTGTCGTTCAATTTATTGTCACCCAGATAAAGTTCCTCCAAATTCCCCAACCCTGAAGCTAGCACTTGAAAACCTGAAAGAAGATTGTCAGAAGCTAGGTACTGATTTTATGCCTTAATTAAGATATTTTGATGAAAATAGTTATAATTTTTTATTAGACTGATATTTTAACAATGTGTTTATAGGTTGTGTTTTCTAATTAGGCCTAGAATTTTATTTTATTTTTGGATTTGATTTATTTTCCTAGTTATTTTAATATAAGAAGCAATTTTTATTTATTTTCCTAGTTATTTTCAAGATTTTTTCTAAGTGAGGTTTTAAAGTTTTAGTTAATTTTTGTTTCATTAGCTAGGTCGGTCTTAGATCATATTTAAACAGCTTTGTTTCTATATATATTAGAGATTGGTTATTTAGATTATTGATATATATCCATAAACTTTTTAATTCAAAGTTCTGTTTTTCTTCCATGGAATTGTATAAAGATCAGATTGTAATTACCTTCAGCAGGTAGGGTGCCATGGAAGTCAACTCCGGTCAAGGATAAGACTTTAAGAGTAGACAAGGGTCCTATGTTCCTAAGAAAGCTTGCTGGGATATTAGAAGAACCATCGAGGAACACTTCTTCAAGGCTAGACGAATTAGACAACCCTGTGGAACAGATCAGATAAATCCATCAATATATTATAAATATCATATTGTTTTAGGCACCAAAACTGTCACTGACCTTCCCCAACGTGTTTAAATGTACTACCACCAGCAGATAAGGTCTTCAGGGATGGCAACGCTCCCAATGACTCTATCAAAATGCTTTCCTTGAAGTCATTTGAAGACAGATACAAGATTTCTAAATTCCTTAAACCTGTGATAGAGAGAATTAACAATCAATAATAATGATTTACAATAATAATTAAACAATTTATAATGTTAGAGTCCAACACATAGCTTAAGTTTTAAAATTAAAATATTTACAAAGTTAAAAAAAAAATTAACAAAAATTAATTATGTGCATATGTAAGTTTCAACTTCAGAATTACGTCCTTCACTTAAGAAAAAAAACGTTTAAAAAATAATTATATAAAGCCTTTTTATAATTATATAAAGCCTTTTTAAAGGTTCATCTAAGCAAATTAATGTTCAATACACATCTAATTATAAAACAAGTTAAATAAAGAATAGACTAAGAAAAAAATTAAGATATATATGTATGTATGTATGTATGTATGTATGTAGATCAACCATTCAAATATCCATATAAATTAATTCAATGAAAAATAAATTTATGTGTTATTTTTTTGACATTATATCAAGATGTTAATAACCAAATATTCATGAATTTTAATACATCACACCCATTCCTTTAATAAAATTTAAGAAATTCAACAAAAGTTAAAGATCAAGACAAATCTAGTTATTAAATAAGCTAAAAAAGGAATAAATTATGCCTCGCAAAGGAATGCCATTCGAGGTAGGAATGATTTACAACTCTACCTTTGAGACCAATTGTTCCTGTGAAGCTATTGTGTGATAGATATAGAGATTTGAGAGTTGAAAAACCACTGAGAGATGATAAAATGCTGTCATTCAATTTATTGTAACTCAGATCAAGTACCTCCAAATTCCTCAACCCTGAAGCGAGTACTTGAAAACCTGAAAGAAGATTGTCAGAAGCAAAAAACATTAACAGATATATATATATATATATATATATATATATATATATATATCAACCATCCCAATATTCATATAAACTCAACGAAATATAAATTTGTGTTAATTTTTTTACATTGTATCAATATTTTAATAACCAAATATTCATGAATTACAATCAATAATATTGATTTACAATAACTAAATATTTTATAATGTTAGAGTTAATATACAAGACATGGCTTAAGTTTTAAAATTAAAATATTTTTTAATTTAAGAATTAAATATTCACAAGAATCATATCACCTTGATTTATTTACAAAAATTAAAAAAAATTAATTATATTTATATGTAAGTTTCAATATGTTAAAGAATTAATTATATAAAGCCTTTTAAAAAGTTCATTTAAGCAAATTAATGGTCAATAAACATCTAATTACTAAACAAGTTAACTAAAGAATATGCATGCATGCATGTATGTATGTATATCAACCATCCCAATATCCATATAAATTCAATGAAATATAAATTTATATGTCAATTTTTGGCATTATATAAAAATTTTAATAACCAAATATTCATGAATTTTAATATATCACCTCCATTTCTTTAATAAAATTTTAAAAATTGAACAAAAGTTAATGATTAAGACACATCTAATTATTAAAAAAGCTTAATAAAGAATAAACTATGCCTCGCTAAGAAATGCCATCCGAGATAGGAATGATTTACAACTCTTCCTTTGAGACCAATTATTCCTGTGAATCTATTGTTTGATAGATCTAGAGATTTCAGAGTTGAAAAACCATTGAGAGATGATAGAATGCTGTCGTTGAATTTATTGCTTCTTAGATAAAGTTCCTTCAAATTCCTCAACCTTGAGGCTAGCACTTGAAAACCATATATATATATATCAACCATCCCAATATCCATAAAGATTCAATGTAAAGTTACTTGAAATATAATTAACTTTATGTGTTAACTAAAAAAAAATTGAAAGCATAGAACCTTGATTCTTTAAACCACCAACTAATTGGTTGTAGCTTAAGTCGAGAATCTCCAGTTCTTTGAAAGGCAGAAACAAAGACGCATTGAGATCCGAGTCTTCATAATTTACACCTGAAAGATATAATTCGATCACTCGGTTTGTGGTGTTGTCACACTCAACCCTATCCCAGTTACAGCAATTAAAATGCTCTTTATCCCAACCTTCTAGCTCATAGGACCCAGCACCTGCATGATTGAACCAAGCTTTTATCGCTAAGAGACTAATTCTCTCTTCCTCCAAACAACAATGGCACCGGTCGTTGACGAAGGCCAGTGCCATGAGCAGCATCCATACCCACATTTGCCTCATCTTCATAACGCTCCACTTGACCACATACAAAAGCAAGCAAGCTGTCTCTTATAAGCAATTTAATTTGTCCTCTTCATGCGTTTGATCAAAGGATTTTCCCGTGATAAACTTTTAGACTTTGGTGGTATCCTCTTGTTTGAGATCAATTACCTAAAGAAACCTTGAATGGAACGGCCATTTGTACGCATATGCTTGACTTGAGGTCTGCCATTTTGAATTTAAAATACCAGCAAGCAGTAATTTCTTGGTGATTTCCTTATAGAAACAGGTGGTCTCCTCACGACCTCTTAATTTAAAAAAAACTCTTGTGGGAGCATGATTAATGATAGGATTCAACCAGTATCAGGAAATGACTGTCATCTTTTAAAGAAATTTGATCACCCACTTTTTTTAATATACTCTTGATTTCATCACCTTTTTTTAAAATACTCTTAATTTCATCACCCACTATCACTGGTTTTTCTTTGTGGACCTCCGTTGCGAAGTTGCAGTGAAACAAACTCGCAATTGCAGCAGGTGCCTAATAATGAACAAGAAGATAATGGTTTCATATATATGTTCTACGTGCTTTGTCAGGTTGAACAATTTATTTTTTTATTTAAAAAAATTGACAGGTTAATAAAAATTCAAGTTTGAAATCATTCGATCAAGGAATAATTTAAATAATATATATAAAAAAATAACAATAAACAAATAAATAATTTACGTAAAATCATCTAATATAATTGCATTTGTAACTTGTTACATGTTAGAAATAAAGCGTAAAATGTCGTGGACGACGATGCTTGACTTGCGGTGTTCCCTTTTGCGGTGCATTTTTAAAACTTGTTTTTTGGATTTCCTTTTTTTTTTGTTTATTAATCTAGCCATTCAACTCACCAGCCAAACATAACACATCAAACTTAATTAGGCAATGAAATTTAATTGGATAATGAATTTTCTTTCCTCAATTATATCTAAAATAAGAACTGAGTGCATTATATATAAAAATTAAATTAATTAATGAGACCTTGACATTGGAGTCAGGGTAATTAGGGGACGGTGTTCTTAAACAAAAAGTTTCCAACTCCAAGTCAATTTAAGTAGGCCTTATTGATTGGGATTTAAAGAGATTAGCTGCCACTTCATCATCGAATCAAAATTAAAATGTTAATGAACTCACCATTAATTGCCATTAAGCTCCATTAAGTGTAAACAATGAATTTATAAAATAGTCAAAAGTGGGATGTCGTGATTTCAACAATGCCGTTTCAGCAAATTGATAGTCATGATGAAAAGAAGAATACAGAATTGTTGAGGTGAACGTCGTGTTCGCCTGAATTGTATAGTGACGATGGTGGAACTGATGCGGTTGCATAGCAGCACCAACCAGTACTTTCCTAATGATTTCCTCGCGGAAGAAATTATGGCCTGTTGGAAAACATTGCCACCCTAACAATCCAAGAGTTCAAATTCAACTTGAATAAAAGCATGATAAATGGATAACTTCGAGGAGAAAGGATCCAAGAACATCATGAAACAGGGGATTGTTCTATTTTGTTATGTAACAATCCCCTGTACATTTTTATTATCAACAGCTAATTAAGAGGTTAGATTTGTAGGGTCTAATTTCAAATGCAAGACTCTATTGATTCTCATCATTATAGTAATAAAACTATGTACATTATTATTAAATTAAGAGAAAACACAAAATTAAACAAGAAAATCTTAAGAGTCCAGAAATAAATCTCACATTGTCGAACAGACTGTGAGCAAACCCAGATTTGGTGGAAGATAGAAATATGAAGAGAGATCAGAAATTGATGGTCTCTTCTGCTTTTCATGGCCTCCTTGTTTTGCATTTAAGGTTCGGCCATCTAAGCTTCTCACTGGGTTTTAATTTCCTGAGTTAATTTCATCGGGGCTGGACTTGAATATCTCTACATATACACTTAAGGCTGGATGAGATCGTCTCTTTAGCCGGCCTTCTTAGGCTTTTGTTCTTTCAAACAATGTCAGCTCTAAGCCCATTATTTTACAGAAAATGTCTGATTAATTTCATTAAATATGCATGCTTCCAATGTATGTCAGTTAATCAAAAGTGCCTACAGGCCAAAGAAACAACGTAACTGATACAAACAATTACTGATACAAGCACAAGGACAAACACAAGTGACGTCAAAACAGAAAGGCTAAGCAACAAGAACCACACTTCGATAGAACACTTCTCACAGGCAAAGTGCTAAACATGCAGTGAGCAACCATTGATTTGGAATGCGACTGCTTCTCCACAGAGGATTACAACGAACTTGTTGTGGGATAGATCAACAACCACCAATTCATTTTGGCTCTGGAGGAAGTTTGGAAATCCAGCCTTGAATGGCTTTGAAGTACAGTTTGAAGCACTAAAGTAACGAAGCCGGAATTTTGGAACTAAAGGCTGAAAACTGGGTGCAGGTATTAGCTCATTGTTATCGCATGCAATGAACTTGAGGTTGGAGAGGTTCATAAATGAACCAAATGTTATTGCAACTTGAAAGTAGTTATTTGAAACTGAGAGGTCTTCAAGCTGCGCAAGATGGAAAGGTGACTAAGGGCAATATTTCCCTCCAATTGGTTGTCAGATAAATCCAAGATTTGTAGAAATGATAGATTTCCAAAACAAGGATGGAGTACGCCCTGTAGATTGTTTCTTGAGAGAAATAGCTGTTCAAGATTATTCATTTCACCCCAGCCTGCAGAATATATCAATATGTTCATGTTAAGGGAATAGGAATATATCAATTATGTACAATTTATTGAGAGATCTATTCAATAATACAAGTTTAGTAGTGATTTAATTTACTTTGGTGAGGCAGGGTGCCATTTAGCATGCTAGCTTTCCAGAGACAAAATTCTGTGAGGAGGCAGTTGCCCATTATTTCGTAGAAAACTTGTTCTTATGGTGCATTCTTAATATCAGACAATAGTTATAATTATGCGGTCCCATTTTGATGAAAATAGTTATAATCTTTTATCCGATCGGTTATATCAAACTGATATTTTTACAATGTTCTATAGCTTGGTTTTGTTTTCTAATTAGACCTAGAAATTTTTTTGGGATTTTGATTTATTTTCTTAGTTATTTTTATATAGGAAGCAATTTTTTTAGTTATATCCAAAAAATTTCTAAGTGAGGTTTTAAAGTTTTAGTTGATTTTTATTTCATTAGCTAGGTGGGTTTTAGATTATATTTGTTTTTCTTTTTTATTAGAGATTGTTTATTTAGATTGTTGATATTCATAATTTTTTTAATTCAAAGTTTTCTCTTTAGTTTAGGAATTTCTTGAGGTCAAGAAACCCTAGATTTTATCCTTTTTTATACAACATAGATATAGATATAGATATAACACAAATATCTATATTCATGTTTTAGGCACCAGAACTGTCACTGACCTTTCCCAAAGTGTGTAAAATTACGATCACTGGCATGTAAGGTCTTGAGGGATGGCAACGCTCCCATTGACTCACTTTCCTTGAAGTCAGTGCATTCCAGATACAAGATGTCTAAATTCCTTAAATCTGTGATATAGAGAACAATCAATAATGATGATTTACAATAATACAATAACTAAATAATTTATAATGTTAGAGTTAATATAGAGCACATAGCTTAAGTTTTTAAATTCAAATAATTTTTAATATAATATTAAAATTCTAATAATTAAATATTCACCTTCATTTGTTTTTTAAAAATTAAAAAATTGAACAAAAGTTAGTAGTACTGTCTATACGTAAGTTTCAAATTATTTCACTTAAGAAAGTGCATTAAAGAATTAATTATATAAAGCCTTTTTAAGGCTTCATCCAAACAACTAAAGGGTTAATACACATGTAATTATTAAACCTCACTAGGGAATGCCATCCATCCGAGGTAGGAATGATTTACAGCTTTACCATTGAGACCAGTTGATCCTGTGAAGCTATTGCCTGACAGATGAAGAGATTTGAGAGTTGAAAAACCACTGAGAGATGATAAAATGCTGTCGTTCAATTTATTGTAACTCAGATCAAGTTCCTCCAAATTCCTCAACCCTGAAGCTAGCACTTGAAAACCTGAAAGAAGATTGTCAGAAGAAAAAATATTAACATATATATATATATATACACACACACCATCCCAATATCCATAAAGATTCAATGTAAAGTCACTTGAAATATAATTAACTTTATGTGTTAACTAAAAGAAAATTGAAAGCATAGAACCTTGGTTCTTTAAGCCACCAACTAATTGGTTGGTGTTTAAGTCGAGAATCTCCGGTTCTTTGAAAGGCAGAAACAAAGATGCATTGAGATCCAAGTCTTCGACTGCATTGAGGTCATCATAATTTACACCGACAAGATGTAGTTCGACACTCGGTTTGTGGTATTGTCACACACAACCATATCCCAGTTACAGCAATTAAAATGCTGCTCTTTATCCCAACCTTCTAGCTCATAGGACCCAGCACCTGCATGATTGAACCAAGTGCCATGAGCAGCATCCACACCCACATTTGCCCAATCTTCATAACGCTCCACTTGACCACATACAAAAGCAAGCAACCTGTCTCTTATATACAATTTTCTCCTCTTCATGCATTTGACCGGACAGTGACAATTATCTGTATTATTGAATTTTCTATGCGGAATTGTCAAGGGAGATTTAGGCTGCATTGAATGAGAGAATCTTCACGGACAGTGCTAGCCAGGGGTCCGCACCACGGCACAGATCGCTCGGTTTGTGGTGTTGGATTAAAGGATATTCCAACTTCTTGTTTACTGCTTTGCTTTTCTTCATAGACTTGGGAAGTCATGTGCTTTATATGAACAATTGATTTGATCTTATGAAATACATGGCAGAAGAGATTAGAAAATGATTTATATTATCAATAATTTCTTCTTACGGCACCAACTGATTTTTATTTCTTGTGAAATATTTAGAATATCTCTTTTGAAATATCAATATCGCCTACCCCCACCTCCCTAATTTTTGTTAATGGAGTGAAATGATTTCCGACGCAGCTATTAATTTCATCAGCTACTTTCACTTGTTTTTATTCATAGACTTGTGAAGTCAAGATTAAAAAAAAAAATTATCAATGGCTCATAAAAAATAAATAAATCAAGCCATCAATTACGAGCTTCATAAGATAATTTTAGCTATTTTGTCTTAAACTCAACAGAGCATCCTTTAATCTTCAACTGTTGTCATTTGAGATTTCATGTTTGTGTTTTCAATTAAGATTACACATCCATTTGTCAGAAATACACCCCAATAGTCTTAATCTGAATCACACTTTTCAGTCCTTTTCCAGCGATCAATACAGATCAATCTTTATTATTTGCTCCGGGTTGCTGCTGCTGGTTACTCTGTCACGGATTATTATTTTTCACTAGTCAGTTATCCTAGTGCTTGCTTGGACATGCTCAACAATGGAGTTTCTCTCAATGTAATTCCCACAGTGAAATCTTCCGTCAAAGTCATTTCAAGCCGGAAAAGATCAGGAAAATGCAGTCTTGAAACATCAAGCGAATAGTCCCCAGCAGGAAAAATTCGTTTCTGACGGTGAGATTTGTAATGTGATCCTAGCTAGTAAACCTGCTCAACCAAAGATAATAAATGATGCCAAAATTGAAGTCAAAGAGACTTGGAACTCCCTGCTGATGGGCTGTTTATTCTGCCAAAATTGCATGGGCTGTTTTACAGCCTTCATAATGGGCTTGGCTACTTTGGGTAATTAAAGAAACCCAAATCGATAATGTTTTCTTTTACTTTGGTATCCGTTTAATCAATCTCCTGGTTTGATCCTTGATAGAGCTGTGTTTTGATGCTTGTCGATTAGCCACAATAATGTTAAATTTACAAGGACAGATCCAAGAAAAGCAATGCAGGCCTGTACTGGTCTCTGGGAGTTCAAAATAAGACCCCCTGATAAAGGCTGCAATTATTGCTTGAACCCTTGTAAAGGGGCCTTGACACATGCGGTCCACTGAAGAAGTACAGCACCGTTCTTTATTTAATTCTTATGGTTTAAATCTACTAATAACTTAGTCATTTTGCATGCTATTTTTCCACTTGTTTTGTAAAATAGAGAAAAGAACTAGGTGAGATGAGAATATTTGATGAGGGAAAAATGGTTTTGTTTTCTTTTATTTTATTCTTTTTTCCGTCTTTACCAAGTTCATATTGTTGCCTCAAATATTCCTATTAATACTTTTTGTAATTCAAAAGATGGGAAGGACGGTAGAGTTAATTCTAAGATAATTTGTTCTTCTAAATAAATCAAGATGATCTTGTTGAATGACATTATTTATATAGTTTAAGAAAGTGAATCGGTCTCCATTGGAATGTAAAGTTGATCTAAGGATGCCACTAATTACTCACAAGAAATTAAATTCTCGAACAAAAATATCCACTAGAAGAAGTATTTTTTTTTCCATCTAAAAAGAATTCGAGATTTTACTAGGCCCTAATAACATAAAGTAAATCTTTCTTCTTCTTCTTTTTTACTTTATGGCATGCTCTCAAAATTTTTATTGATATTAATTAAATAACAAAGACATTGATGTAGCTGAAAATTAAGAACGAGAGGGATGATGGAATGGATTAAGCAAAATGGGCTTGAAAGTCACAGGAGAGAAAAATCTGAAATAAACTCTTGATGTTCAAAATAGCCCACAAGTCAGGCTTAAATAGCTAGGGCTGATAAATACTGATTATTCAATAAATAAAGAAACTTCCCAGAAAAAGTTTGATATCCTTTAATTTTTTTACCTTTTTAGAACAGTTTATCCGGGTCGCTTCCACTTTGCTCCAACCGACCACAATGATCCCATATCCATCTATACTAAAATCAATTAAGCGGTCCGTTGACACATGAACTTCTCTGGCTCCATTCCATCCTGGATTAGCAATCTTTCAACATTGAGTGTTCTTCTTCTAAAAGCCAAGCATGCTGGATATTTCGCATAATAAGCTCTCGGGTCCTTTATCCTCTTGTTTGTCCAATTTCACTAACTTTGATGGCAAACGATGCTTTCATTGTGAGCTTTGAGGCATGTTACATAATTGTCTCGTTGACAATTGCAGCAGCTCTTTACATAAATCCTTACTGGAGAAGAAGATGGTTTTACTTCATTGAAGAGTGCTTAAGCAATTGCTACTGTTTTTTGTGCAGACGTATGCAAATCTTCAGATGGATATAGGGGTTGATGCTTGCCATTTGTTCTCAGTTATACTAAGAAAGAATGAACCGCGACTCTGTCCACCATTCTCTCTTGTGCAGGAACAAATTAGTGAAGGAATATTTGCAGTGATAAATATGGTAATGGTTTCCTGACTTCATTAGAATATTTTGCTCCCATTTTCTTTGCACACCATGAACTCAATATATATTGCAACATAATTGTGGTGTTGTCAATCGCAACTATTATGCACATATATCCTTATTGGCGCCGCAGGTGGTTTTACTTCATTGAAGAATCGCAACTATGATGCTGCTGTTTTCTAGTGGTTAGTTTTCGTAAGCTGTCCAACATCATGTCATCGGACCTCTGTATAATCATTCAATTAGATGACACAGTTAAAAATTTTAAAAACTAATAATACTATAACTACGAAGAACACCTAAAATATTTAATTTGATTCTTCCAAGTCTCTGCTAAAATACAAGCTCGAAAATCTTGTTTATACTAATCTTGGGCCTGAACTGAATGAAAAAAATGAAATTACTAAATAGAATAAGAAAAAAAATAAAAATTTTAAACTGAATATAAATAAATAAGGAAAAGTTTCTGCATCACTAGCTCTTTCAAAATCAAGTCACTTATGTACTATTTTGTGTTGAATAGTCTTGGTAAGTTGTCCATCTTGAAAAGGCCATGGGATCTGGGTCTGTGCTCTTTGTTTTCCGTAATTTCTAGTTTGAGCTAACAACGGCCGGATGTTTTTGGAATGCTTCTCTTTATATTATTGATATTTAACAATTGATGTATTTTATGAACATGAATGTAGAGAATAGACAGAGAGAAACAGAGGAATCATTCACATTCGCACTTGAAAGAAGGGCTACGAATTAATTTGCTGAAATAGATAATAGTTCCAGAAAGAATAGGAAACCCTTATACAAGCAAAGAAAGATAATGAAAAATCACATGGGAAGAGTGATGGAGTTTTCAAAACTATGGCTGTGCTTCTTCTTTGACCACGCCTTCTGCACAAATATGGTCACTGTTCATCAGAATCAGAGGGCTGATTTTTCCCTCTCGTATACAGCTTCCGAAAGAAAAGGTTTAGAAAGGGCTGTTCTAGCTTGGATTTTCTATTGGTGGGCTCGTTATTATCATTAGAAAAACGGAAGGTGATGCTTTGATTCATAATATTTATTTCCTGAAGTCAAATATAGTTTTCAATAATTGATGATGTAGCGTCTTTTTTATGCTATCACGTTCGTCACAGATGATGTAACTAGAGAAAATTGGTTTAAATCATTGAAAATTGGTAGTGCAATTTTTTGAATTTTTTGGAGATTTTATACCCGATCTAACACACACACACACTATTATGATGTAGCTTACTGGTAGAGCAAGGAACTTCTAAATCACTGAAATGGCCATGGTGCAAATCTCTTTTTAGTTAAGTACAAGCATGAATTTTTTTAAAAAAAGAAAATACATCTAGTCAAACAAAACAAAAAACTAGCAGGAAAAGAGGCCAACCACGTCACAATAGAAAACACAAGGAAACTGACCGGAGATTATATCATCTTGGTCTTAACTCGCAGGAAATGGCTACGAAATACCCTCAATGACTTTTCAATCTAACATTTTCAATATAAAAGGATGGGTTTGTTGCCCAAATGAACACAGAGCATAGCAACTTAGCCATTGGATCCACAGCTAGGAGTAGCTAGTGCTATATTTTAGATGAATTCTAAGTGGGTATGGATGTTGGTGACTTTGGCTTGGGTGAACGGGTGGTGCCATTGTTGTTTAGAGAAAGAGAGAATCGGTTTGTTGGAGATCAAAGCTTGGATCAATCACCCCAATGGTAGTTCCTTAACCCACTGGGTGGAAAACAAAGAGGATGATGATTGTTGTCAGTGGCATGAGGTTAAGTGTGACAACACCACAGGGCGAGTGGTCGAACTCTCTCTTCCGTTTACAAGGGAGTATTGGATTTTAGGGGATTTGTATCTCAATGCATCTCTATTTTTGCCTTTCAAATACTTGAAGAGTCTCCACTTAGGTGGTAATGGATTGGTTGGTTGCTTTGAGAACCAAGGTTATTTACCTTCTATTCTCTCATGTAACAAATTTATGCTCGTATAATGGTGATATACCTGTTACTTATTTTGCTTTGAGAATTCTCTTGCAGGCTTGGAAGTCCTGTCATCAACGCTGAGGAAATTGGAGTTGCTTGACCTAAATCTTAATCAATTTAACGACAGCACTCTATCATGTCTGAGTGGGCTTTTGTCTCTCAAGTCTCTGGATCTATCAAGGACGTTATTGACTGGATCATCAGCAATCAAGGGTAAATCACTTGCCTGTAGTATTTCAGTCTCTCATTGATGATTTCATCCTCTCTTTTCCCTTCCACACATTTCAGATTTAAGGAAGTTAGAAGTCCTTTTTTTGGACAACATTTTCATCAGCGAAAGCATTTTGCTAGACTCACTGAGAGCCTTGCCATCCTTAAAAACCCTATATGCTCGGGACAATAATTTCCTCGGAACACACACTGTTGAAGGTTGGATACGGATTTGTTTCCTAAAACATTAATATTAATTTATCTAGAGTATATTTGGTATCATTTTCAATGTTCGCTTTATTGCGTCTGTTCCACAGGGATCTATAATTTGACCAACCTTGAAGAAATATTCCTTGATGGTTCTTCTCTGCCAGAGAACTTTCTTCAGAATATTGGAGTATTGTCTGCTCTTAGAGTTTTGTCTCTGACCTCTTGTCACCTCAATGCTACTCTACCTACTCGAGGTAAATTACAATCCCCTCTTGACTATAGTTAATAGGCAAACTATCGTCCTCGCCCAGCTTGTTTGGAAGACTATTCACCAATCAGATGTATTTGTATCTTACACAGGATTCTTAAATTTGACAAACCTTGAAGAATTATTCCTGGATGATTCTCCTCTCCCATTCAAGTTTCTTCAGAGTATTGGTGTATTCTCCGCTATCAAAGTTTTGTCTATGAGTAATTGTCAACTGAATGGCACTCTACTCACTTCAGGTACAATACAATTCCCTCTTCGTACTATCACGGTAATAAATAGGATCAAGAACATGTTTCATTATTGTTCCTTGACATGATCATGTATTTGTTACAGGCTGGTGTGAATTGAAAAGGCTAGAACAGTTAGATCTCTCTAGAAATAATCTAGATGGTCTGCTGCCTGCTTGTTTTGGAAACTTGTCATCACTGCAATTATTGGATGTGTCCTACAATCAACTCACAGGAAGCATTGCCTCCGGTCCTCTTACCAGTCTCAAATTCCTAAAATACCTATCACTATCAAGCAACCAATTTCAAGTCCCGGTTTCGTTTAAGTCATTTATGAACCACTCAGACCTCCAGTTCATCTCCTGTGACAACAACAAACTAATAAAGGAACCTACCTTTCAGAATTTCATTCCAAAGTTCCAGCTGAAGTTTTTTAGCTTGTCAAATTGCAAATCAAAAGCACTAAATGCAAGTATCCCCGACTTCCTCTATAACCAATATGATTTAAGAGTGCTTGATCTCTCCCTCAACAGTTTCCCTGGAATGTTCCCATCTTGGTTGTTTGTGAACAACACAAAATTGGAACAACTGTTCCTGAAAGGCAATTCTTTCGTAGGTCCTTTTCAATTGCCATACCATCCAAATCCTAACCTTTGGATACTGGATGTTTCGAGCAACAGTATACAGGATCAAATTCCGAGAAACATGTGCTTGATCTTTCCATATTTGAGGAATTTAAGAATGACCGAGAATGGACTCACAGGTTATATTCCTTCTTGTTTTGGAAATATTAGCTCTTTGGAAGTTTTAGATTTATCCAACAATCAATTGTCTAGAGGAATACTTGAGGATCTGACCTCCTCATTATTGTTTCTCAAGTTGTCAAACAATAATTTGGGTGGGCAAATATCTCCCTCAATTCTCAACTCATCCCTTTTGGAGTTTCTCTACTTAGACGGCAACAATTTTGAAGGAAAAATATGGGATATTTCGTTGAACACATGGCCTTCCATGTCAGCACTGGATATTAGCAACAACCATTTCACTGGCATGCTTCCGAAGTGGATAGGCAATATTGCATACATTCGAGCAATAGATTTCTCGAGAAATCATTTTGAGGGTCAAATTCCAGGAGATTATTGCAAGCTCGACCAGCTTGAATTCCTTGACCTTTCTGAGAATAGATTGTCGGGCTTTCTACCTTCTTGCTTCAATCTACCAAGTTTATCCCATGTTCATCTATCTCAAAATCAACTGAGCGGTCCGTTAACAGATTCATTTTATAACAGCTCTTACCTGGTTACGTTAGATCTTAGATATAACAGCTTCACTGGCCCTATACCAAATTGGATTGGCAATCTTTCAACATTGAGTGTTCTTCTTCTGAAAGCTAATCATTTTAGTGGTGAGTTCCCTGTTCATTTATGCTTGCTAAGCGAATTAAGCATTTTGGACATGTCACACAATATGCTTTTCGGTCCTCTACCCTCTTGCTTGGGAAATCTTACATTTTTGACAAGTTTCAAGAAAGCTTTAGTTGCCTCTCACATGTATTTTGTGTACAAATCCAGTGTCGGGATTTACTCTAAAAAATCCTATGGTCGTTCTAGACTAGAACATGGTGGAGATAACACAGAGAATGAATCTCCTGCCCTCATCGTCGAAGAAGTGATTGAATTTACAACGAAAGGGAAGTCTTATGCATACAAGGGCGACATCCTCAACTTCATGTCTGGTATTGATCTCTCCGACAACAGATTCACAGGTGAAATTCCATCGGAAATGGGATACTTGAGGGAGATACATGCGTTAAATTTGTCACACAACAATCTGATTGGATCAATCCCCACAACATTCTTGAACTTGAAGAATGTAGAGAGCTTGGATCTTTCTCACAATAACTTGACCGGTGCCATCCCCCGACAACTTACTGAACTTACCTCATTAGCAGTTTTTAGTGTAGCATTCAATAACTTGTCAGGCAAAACACCAGAGACAAAAAACCAATTTGGGACCTTTGACGAGAGAAGTTATAAAGGGAATCCGCTTCTTTGCGGACCTCCATTGAAAAACAGCTGCAGCGAACTTGAATCACCTTCACAGTCTGAGCCAAATGATTCGAATAGCGGGCGAGAACATGATGGATTCATGGACATGAATGTTTTCTGTGTGAGCTTCGGGGTATGCTACACAATTGTGGTACTAGCAATTGCGTCAGTTTTGTACATAAACCCATATTGGCGACATAGGTGGTTTTACTTCATTGAAGACTGCATGGAGACTTGCTACTACTTTGTATTGCATACATTTCATAAGCTATCCATCCTCCTTCATAAGGCCATAGGGTCTTATGCGTGCCTTTTCTTTTTTCATATTTTTTAGTTTGAACTAATAAAACGTTTACTTTTTTTCAAGCTTCAGTTCATTTTATTGCAGTTTCTCAAATGAATTCTACAAATTAAATATATATACATATATATATACATACATACATATATATATATATATATATGCGCATCCTTAATGCCATAGTAAAGAGAATATATAAAGAGAAGAGGAGGATCTTTACGTGATATGGATAGGTGATGCTCCTAAGCCTAGAACCAGCTAACTGAGCATAGAAATCAAAACACGATTCCACTGTAATATTATGATGAATAATTCAGCAAAACTTAATTCAATTTAAACTTCCAATCTCATCATTAGTAAAAATGCAGAGTCAGATTGAAAGGAAATTGATTGGAACGTGAAATTCAGCTAACAATACTTCTAGTAGAGCTTCCTCCTTACCCTCTCCCTATTGTATCTTCTTCGAGTGGAACTCTAGCTTTTTGCCCTCCAAGATTCATGTTCTCATCTTTCTCCAGTACTCTATTTTCCATCCAGCATAAGCAATCACAACTTACCTCAACGGAAAACTTTATAGCCAACTTCAACCAATATTTAAAAGGAATTTTGTCCTTTGTTTGATAAGCAAAATCAACAGAACCTGTCTTTGACTTTCTAGCTCATAGCAGTAGCCATTTTAAGGAGCAGAAACAAACACTGCAGAGATTTATCATCACGAAAATCGAAAATCTAGTTGATTTATCATCATTACGAAAATCTAGTTAAAACAAATTAATATGAAATCAAATAGAGGATGGAAGGTTGATTTTTAGATCAAGAATAGCATGTATTAAAAAGATAATAAATAAAATTAGAGTAATAACATTGATACAACATATCATTAAATTTCATTTGCAATTTCCTCTCAATTTTCTGTGGTTTTGTAGAGACAAAGATTAGTTGGTCCTTACGGGAAATTTTCTTCCTTAATTTCACTCCTATTTCCCAAACGATGGAATTCATACAACCTTTCGATTTTATTTCCACGTAAAATCCATTCTTCTCTATCAAACAGAACATAATAAAGGGCCATATTTTAATTTAAATATCTTTTTCCTAATATTTAAAGCTTTTTTGCTGGGAAAATATCATGGGGATTTGAGAGAAAAGACAATAGATAAGAAAGGACATGAAAAAAAAGTGAGAGAAAATGATGGTGGGTCTTCATTCTTCAAGGACCGTATTGGAACTCTTTGGAGGCATGCGTGAGAGGTGAAATGGAAAAGTATAGGGATCACAGTGTAATTTAAATGAATATATAGGGTTTAAAATGAAATTTACCCTTAATTTTTTCATGGATGACGCAGTCACAAGGAGAGTATAGATGTCATTTCTGAAATGATAAGACAGGCAGTGACAAGAAGTAAAATTTCGTAAATCATCATCAATCAAAAATCATGACGTGGGGACAGATCGGACGGTTGATTGTGACTCTTTTTACCCTCTCTTTCTCTCTTTGGGGGGTTTTAGGACAGTATCGCGCGAGATGCGCGGGCGCTGTGCTCTTACATTTCCAAGGTGTATAGTGGGATCCATGTCTTTATTAAACCAATTAAAATCTTGAACTCCTTGGGACCCACTGGGATTCTAGTTTTTTTTTTTTGAAAACATTTCATAAAAGTCCTCAAACTTCGAGGCTCCTCTCATGCTAGTCTCATCTCTATCATAGCAATATTATAATTTTTATTCATTTTCAGTTAACAAAAAGTTTATGTAATCACTTGAAGTTTATACGGTTTTTTTTTATTTATAAAAAACCAATGAATTCTCTAAAAATCTCATTTTAAATCGCTTGAAACTAATTTCTTAAAGAAACAAAAGATCTTACATTTATATTGTAAGAACCTATATCATATCAAGATTAAATTTCAGTAAAAAAAATATTAGAACTCTAGTCGTGGAGAGTTTTTTTATATATAGAATTACGTTTTTCTTTGAGCTTGCTTTTTTCTTAACCGGATCAACTACATCAATCTCCTAAAAAAACAAAAAAAAAAAAACAAAGTTTGGAATGAAAACTAAAGTGAAATTTAACAGTCTGCAACAATAATCCTTAACCATCCACCATGAAATGATCAACAGGTTTTTTTTAAGGACACTATAAATTCTGAAAGAGCGTAGACATGAATGACAGCCAAGAACTACCCAACAGCCATGCAGGGTCTAGTCTGCATGGCAATGGTCCACTCAATCGCTGAATCCACATGAACACAGCCTAATGAACTGCTCAAAAGGCATTTGGTTCTGGCAATTCAATTATGCGAAGGGTGTAGGTCGGAATTCTTCAACTTAAACGAACGTGTTTGCGTAATTAAGTGTTCAATCATGTACTTAATTTGCTATTGAAAACATTTAGAATTTATCAACAATTTAATTAAGCAGGTGTATACAAACTTCCAACATTTGCAGATATCATTGAATCATTAGTTAACACTAAGTAGACTGAGATCGGATCAAAAGGTGTCACTTCAGCTCTTAATATTACAGAAAACTTACAACTGCCCTGATGGTTAGCACAAAAGACCGGCTTGGAGTTCAGACTAGCCAAATTGCCCAACTCTTTAATTAAGCCTGAATTTTATCTCCATCATAAAATGGGAAAATTAGTATAGATATACAAGGCGAAATGGAATTAATTAGCTCTCATTTTGAACTTCAGATTGGTCATGCATGACCACTAGCAGGTCCTCCTAGTGTTAGAACCACACCTTGAAGATCACTTCTTGGATTTGATTCTTTGGCAAATGATGGAGCAGCTCTGATTACCGGATATGTTCTGGTCACTTGAGTTTGTCGAGAACTATGACTAAATTCTTGTCCTGAGAAAGTTGTTGGATGATGAGAAGGCTTCAAGGTGTCAGTATGATTGGAGTTTGAAAATTGATGAACAATGGGGATTTGAGTTGCTGGTGATGCATGATTTTGAGCGAGAATTGCCCCTCTCGATACGAAACCAGGTGCCTGATAGATAAAATTAGGTTTCAATACGAGTTCGAAATATACTGCAAATGAGGAAGTACTGAGGAGCTTACAGGTGAAAACAAGACCCCTCTGAAAATCTTTCCATTAACAGTTGCAGTCATTAAAAGGCCTGAGTCGAAGGCTCCGTCAACTTTACCTCGAACTTCAGCACCAACCTATGGAGAAAGAGAAGAAAGTGAAAAGCAAGTATTAGCAGAACAGGAAGAAAAACAAAGAGAAAAAAAGTTGTAATTGACAATGTTTTGCATTGCATATATCAACTTAATGATTTACCAGGTTTTGAGTACACCCTGGCTCCATGGGTCTATGTTCCACTGCTGGGAATGGTGTTCCTTGCCTGCCAAGCCCTGCATGAACATATTGTTCTACTCTTTTATTCTCTCTTGAAATTTGGAGCCTGTTCCGGGTTTTTTGGATCACAAGTCTAGGTAGTTTCTGATTACTTGCAACACTATCAGCCTGGTAATTTCTCGGAATTTTGTTTAACTGCCTAAAGAAATTAAGTCCTTTGCAAGATGTGAGGGAATCAACTGATTTCTGAACCGGAATCTGTTCTTGGTCGGACTGTGATGGAGATGAATGGTGAGAGGGTGAAAGAGAATGCTCTTCTTGTTCTAAATCAATCTCCCATGCCTTTGAATTTGTAGTTCTTATCTTCTTATGATGAATTGTATCTGAAAGGAACGTTGGAGTTAATCATGTTCGAAAGCTTCATCCGTGCTACTCAGGACAAGGTTTTTGTTATTAAAACTACCTGAACTGAACTGAAAAGGTTGCTTTGATTCTTCTGATTCATATGAGCCCTTCCTGTCTATTTCATTGTTTCCCAGAAACATTGACTGCTTCACAGAAAAAAATTATTAACGCTCCCAACTTGAACAGGCATACTTAACAGGAGGTCAAGTGTATTCATTTTGAGAGTAAATAGTTTAGTTACCGAAATATCTTCTGCTCCTGGGAGAAATCTTCTCTTTTCTTGACTCCAATGTTGTCCAAAGATCTTGCACATGGAAGTGTTGTATCGACCATTGGGATGGTCTGCTCCAAGTTGCAAGACCAACAACTGATTGAGAGGACGCTCATCTTCTCTGCACCTGCCCATACAGAATTGAATTAGGAGACACATGAAGATTATGGGAGGCAGTGTTGAGAACAGAAGCTGCAGATGCGAAACAAAAACTTTCAGTTACCCTCCGTAGATGGCAATATCCGAGTCGGTGACAACTGCAGTGTGAGAAAACCTCCCTTGAGGTTGCTGGCCAGATATATCAAGTTGAGTCCATGAACAAGTACTCACATCAAGCACCCAAACATCATTGTAGTAATGTTTGTCCCCAACACCTCCAATGACATAAAGCTGCAGACCATGAAAAGCACATTAAATCTCTTTTCAAAAGCCAACAATTGATAAAGGAGCATCGAAGAATCAAAGCCTTCAAGCAAAAACAGGTGAGCATCAATAGCACAGACACCAGAATAGTGTATAACAATCCGAAGAAAAACTAGTCTAATTTTCAAATCTATTTTAGTGCCATGACTTGCCTTTGTTCCAATATTCACAGAAGCATGACCTGCTCGAACACCTGGCGAAGATCCTTGCACAACAAGCTGTTAAAAATAAAAACCATTATCATTGCTTCAAGTCCACAAAATTCTAGAGTAAAATAGAGTAAGTGAAGCTAATGCCTTTGTCCAAGTCATTGTATCTGTATCAAGCACATCCACATCACCGTGATACCTATCACCACGATCACCACCGTACACAAAAAGCTTATTACCGATTTCAACCGCACTGTGACTATCCCTAGGAGCCGGAATACTGCCCTTAACCTCTGGATAAGTCCATATCATGGACTTGAGGTCTAAAACATGCAAATCATTTAAATAATTTGCTTCACCTTCTCCACTTCCCCCAAACACCATGATTCTATCATCACCAATCAAAGTTGCAGTGTGACTTTCACGAGGCAAAGGAGGAGTCCCTTTGCATTCAGGGCTTATCCACTCCTTGGTTCCAAGATCCAATA